TCAATTTAAATCACAACATTACATGTCTAAATATATTAATGAAAAAAATAAAAATTTAAATTAAATGTGAGAGACTCGATTTGTTTTGATATATATTTGGATAATCTGTTTATATTTCAAACTTTCATGAATGAATGGCAAAGCATTGTTTTAAATAGAATGATTTATGTACAATTATTCCCTCTCTCATTAAATCTATATTATCCATCCATGTAAGATATTATTACTCGAATCAACAACTACAGTAAATAGAAAGATTAACAAAAATATCTTAATGGTTATTATTGTCAATGATGATTAAACACGTGTTTATTGTTGTGTACAATAATAACAGAACATTTAATAAAAAATGATTTCATCATCATCAACTGCCACTACTAGTAATAATAATATGTTATCATCATCATCACCATCATCACAAATGAATGAATTAGATGATGATCCAATAATAGTTGATTATGTATCAGATATATCAGATAGTGAAGATTTACATTATCAAAATATTAATACAAATCAATCTACTTTTATTAATGAAATTAATCAATCATCATCATCATCTACCACCAACAATAACACCTCCTCCTCCTCCGATAGTACTAATAATAATGAATTAAATAATAATAATATAAATAATACAACAACAACAAGTATAATCAATCCATCGTCATCATCTCCGTCATCATCAACCATTGAAACATTAAAATCATCATCCAATTCTACAAATACACAACAACAAGAAGAAAATGATGATGATAATATGTGGTCATGTAATATATGTTTTGATACAGCAAGTGAACCAGTTATAACACAATGTGGACATTTATATTGTTGGTCTTGTATATATAGATGGATGCAAAGTCATTCAACTCAAAATTTACAATGTCCTGTTTGTAAAGCAGGTATTCAACAAGATAAATTAATTCCTATTTATGGTAGAGGTCATTCAAATAATTCATCATCTAATAATAATAATTCTAATTCATCAATCTAATAATAATAATAATAATACTCATTCAAATATACCACAAAGACCTAGAGGACAATATACAGATAGTAGAACAACACCAAATCCAAATTATAATCCATTTCATAATATGACTAATTTATTTGGTAATTTTAATACAAATACAAATATTGGTGGTGGTTTTACTTCATCTGGTAATCAATTTTTATTTTCAGATGCTTTTAGATTCTTTCCATTCTTTGATTTAGCTTCTAATAATTTAAATAATAATAATTTAAATAATTTAAATAATAGAAATCATCCACTTGTACCTCCACCAATTGAACAAGAAGAATTACAAGGTTTTGTTAGAAGATTAGCTCTATTTTTAGGTTTTATTTTATTATTTTATATTATTTTTGTTTAATTGAATCGAAATATTTTTAAATGAAATTAA